ATCCTCTTACCACAGCCCCTTGCTGTATTCACCGCTTCTCTCACCACTTCCAGATATACTACATTTAGCTGTCCTCCTAATCAAGATCCCCAAGACCGCTTTAGGGTTGTTGGTGCTACTTAGCCAATCGAGGATTTACATGCACAGCCTTAGGGTAGTGACAGATATTACGTAATATCGATAGGGGGGGAGGAGATAGATCCAATGTCTTACGTAGATATATAACCTTATTATAACTGATAAACAGCCAATCAAATGTCTCTTTTGATTAATAATACCAGGCAGATTTGACTCTATTCGGTATGTCACAAAATTCGATTTTATCACAAATGATGATCAAAACATAATAAGTAACCAATCAAATTCGACTCAATATATAAAATTCAATTTTGGCACATACAATTTTCAATATACGAAAAATGAATTATTATTATCAGTGAAGCATTACTTTATTATATCCCGGTATTTTAAAACAGTAATTCCATTCTATCTTTTTGTCATCATTTTTATTAGAGACAAATTACAACCTTTAGTCATATTGAATTAAACAATACAATATTACACGTATTTGATTTAAATCACGTCCACATCTACTTTTGACAATTAACTTCTATAAGATTAACACAAGAACACTATAAGTATTAAATAAAATAATTTGTTAAACAATACCAAGTAAAAGATAGTCAAAATTTGCATATTTAATAGTGAAACATGCTTTCTCAAACAAATATTTTAAAGTGTATAAATAAAAGTTACCTGGCGATTGATTTAAGCAAGCCAAATAAACGAATATCTAACTTTAAATCACTAGTAGAAGTTAAGCTTATTTAGAGTCAGACAAAAACTACTTTGGTATCGTTGAAACTTAAGTTTTGTTGATAAAAACACAAAAATAATGCTGAAACTATTCTTGTATTCTTTTAGATCTTTGTCACGTAGTTCTGTGTTTTTACGTGGTCTGCACACTGACATTGTTACTAGTAAAAGTCACGCCTATTTTAGGATCTCGAAAAGAGATTTTAGGATCCAGAAAACTAAGGTCTTGTTGAATGTAAATATAAAATTTCAAACTATAGTATATTTAGAAAAAAATGCACAGGTTATTTTTACGAAGCCCTATATTTTACTATTGTGTTCAATAAATTAACCAATCAACGTTAGTTTTGCAATAATCACATTTTTTGTGATCGGAGTCAAATCCGCCTATATGCTGTAGTCAAAAAATTCAAAGAGAGATATGAATCTAAGATCAAGATTTTCGATTATAACTAAATAGACCCAAAGCCTTATAAGTATAAAATTTGATTCTTTTAAACAGAAATAGCAAAAAATAATGCTCTTTAACTCTAACCAACGATCTTAAGAATGAGATTAATACGGCTTTATTTGCAAAAGGAAGGTTTATTGTATTTTTATATATATTTTATTCGCATCATGATTATTAATATGCAATGAATAATATTTTTACTAAACTAATACATAACTTATTAATAAGCAAATATGAAAAATTTCTATTTTATTATTTTATTTGGCATCTGATGTATATTCCCTGTATGGAATTTCATTACAAGAAAGGATTCGAGTGATATTTTGTGATGGTAACATCATAAAATTATCAAATGTTGCGGAATTGGCTTCATGAGCTACTAAAGCCTTTTTCGGAGGTCTTCCACGGGTAGAAGGATGTTGTAGGCGTTTATGCCTTGTTAAATAGTTAAGAGTGGGAAAATACTTGTTGCAAATTGAACAACAGAGCCGAGAATAGGTTTCTTTATCAAGAGAAGGGCAATGAAAATCATAACCAGATATTTTAAACTGGTCAAAGTATTGGAGAAGGTGGATAGGATTTATATAATGACCATCTCGTGCTTTAATAACTGGAGGAAGAAAGCCACCACTAGCCATAAGTAAATCCATAGCTTCTTCTGCTCTGATTGGATTACAACATTCAAGATCATCACATCAAGTGCGTATTGACATATATTGCAATGTTTTTCTATCCAGGACCATGGTACCAAATTATTCGCAATCTCTTTCCTTTTTTTTTCTCGTTCTTCTTCAAACTCAAAATCAATAAATGGATTAATAGTTTTGTCAATATAATTTGCCTCAACTTTTTTTCCAAAAATATGATCGCGACACCAAATTTTATATAAAGCTTCACCAGCATAGCGAAAATTTTATACTGCTAAATCCGAATCAACAACTTTCCCTTGGCTATCCAAATGGCTACCAAAATGGTCAATTGGAAGTGTTATTCCAGCAAGCTTACCTGAAAGAGTTGCCATAGCTCTCTCAACTGGATTATACTTTGATTGTCCTGGGGCGTGGGTGCGTACAGTAAGATAGTCTAAATCAAATTTTTTAAAAAACTTACAATATGAGAATATATTTTTTAAATGCCTAGGATTTTTGTCAGGGCCCCCATCAACCAACAGAACCCAAATTGGTTTAACATTGCCATCTATTTTCAAAGTCTCAGCATATCGTGGATTTGATATAAGATAAGTAAGGTCTTCCATATGTGTTGCTGATGATATTCCCAATGACCATTGTGGGCGTATAAATATTGCTAGTTGTTCTGAATAAATATCATCATTTGTTTTGTCAGGTTGAATAATAAGATAAACTGATGGTACTAACTTTTGATTGTTTCCACAAGGAAAATCTGGTCTGCTACTCTAACTGGTTCAGCAATCAATTGTAAGGTACAGAAGGTTTTACTTACTGCGGGTATTCCAAGACCAATTTTAGATTTATCGTCTTGAGAGATTATAGCTGATACATCTGCAAAAGCTTTAGCAAACTGCTTTGCTCCTTTAACTGAGGCTAAACAATAGTGCTCATCCTGATGTTCTTTTGTTTCATCACGTGAAACTCCAGTAATAGCTACCCAAGCAGGATGGTGATGGGCTTTTGCCACAATTGATTTAGAATGGTAAGGTAAAAGATAATTATTTAGAGTAGACCGAGACATATAAATATTGTAATTTTCTTCAAGATTCTGACGAAGATGATCTATAATTCTGACTTTAATTACTTCTTTTCGCCTCTGTATATCAGCTGCCCCATATTCAATTGAATTATAGATGTTATCAAGCAAATCAGGATGCTGCATTAATAGTGATGGTCTACCGGGTTGGTCATATCAGATTATTTCATTTTGTTCTTCTAATATTTTGCGCTTTTTGTCTCTACACTTTGACTGATGCATTGCATTTCTTTTTAATTTTTTAATTTGCTGCTTTTGAGCTTGAATTTCATCTCAAAGTTTTTTTATTTTTATTAAAAAATCACGCCGATACTACATATTAGATGAAGCATTATACAAAAATTCAAGCTCAATAAGCTCTTTCTCTGCTAATCTTTTACTTTTAGCTACTTTTTTTTGGGCTATTGCATTAAAGCGAATTTCTTCTGTGTTATCAGATAGTAGTGCAATAGTGGTCGTATTAAGTTGTAAAGAACTATTGCTCATAGAAGCCTGTGGTTGAGACATAATAGGACAGAAAACCCCTTGCATATCTAATGATGTATTTAAATATTGTGTAATAATATTGTCAATCTTTACTTCTTTTTGTTTTCTAACATTTCACCATTCTTCTGCTGCTAGTTTGCAAACAACTGATCAATTAGGATTAGGCATTTTATTTTTAACCATATAGTTGTATGTATAAGCATTAGTAAAGTCTTCATATTTAGTTCTTGGATTTTTGTATATAAGTTTTTTATTAAACTTTGGATTCAAAATGAACGTTTGACTTATAATATTAGAATTGCAATTGGGTTCTATAATTTTGCTCATTATTTTTTATATTTATAAGAATTTGAAGTTAAAATACTTACTATTCATAGTAGAGTTGCGGCCCAAACACTTTTTTTTAGTTACGATGTTTCTACTTAGTTTGGGTTTGGGAATCGGCATTTCTACCTAGTTTGGGTTCATAACCAAAACCCGAATATGTATCTCATTTCGGTAAATGGTGTCAAACTTAAAACTATCAATCCATTATAAAAAATATTCGGCATTTAATAACAAATTTTGA